GGGGGGGGGGGGGGCAAGAGAGCAGGGGAGGGGCAGAGAAAGAGGGAGAGAATCCCTAGCGGACTCCGAGCTGTCAGCGGCTACCCTGACGAGGGGCTCGATCTTACAACCACAAGATCAGGACCTGAGCTCAAGTTATGAGCCAGAGGCACAACGGACTGAGCCAGCAGGCGCCCCCATCCTGGACTTCTGTACCTTGGGGAGTCTCGTGACCTCTATCTATGTTGACTAGTTTTGTTCCCTCTCCTTCCTTCATCCCCTCCCTGGGCGTCTAAGTAGCCAGAGATCTGAGTTTCCAGGGCTGATTTGGGAGCCTGGCCTCGGGAAGGTGCGAGTTAACGACAGCCACCTCGGCCGGCTCAAAACCGCGTACGCCTCAAGCATTCCCGGAGGCCAGCTAGAAGAGGGAAGCAAAGCGGGGCTCCCCGAGCCCGGTCAGGCTGCGTCTGCGTGTTCAGGCAGGGTTCTTGCTCAGTTCTCGAGGCCCGGTCAGACCCAGGAGGAGGGGCTTCCAGGGCGGGAACCGTGCGCCAGGCCCAGGTCGACGGAGGCCGACCGCGGGGTTTCGGCCGCTGCACCTGCCTCCGGAAAGGGCCTCCCTCGCCGGGTCACGCCGGTTCCTTCGTGAGACAGGGTTTTTTGCTACTTAAGTCTCGACGAGGCGAAGTCTAATAAACTCCTTACCTGCTTTCCTGAGAACCAGTCATGTGCAGAGACGGTCCGGTCCCTGCCCTGCTGAACTCGGGTGTCCCGCAGCGGGCAGCCCCCGAACACCCAGGGTCAGAGCGCACGTCCGGCCGCGACGGGGACCGCTTACCTGTGCTCCGGGTGGCCCTGGCCGCGGGGAGAAACGGCCACGGCTGGGGTTCCTGGTCCGTGGCACGGGCTCCTCGGCGACCCCGGGGCCTCGCCTGGGCCCCGGGCAGGGACAACGCCAACGCCAGCAGGAGCAGCAGGGGCAGCAGGGTGCCAGGCTTGGCGGGCCGCATGTCTGCGCGCTGGGACGTCCCGAGGGGTGGGTCGCGGGGGCCGACACCTGCGCGCCTCCGGGTCGCGAGACGGGGACGCGGGGCGGAGGCTGGGGGGTGGG